CATTTATTTTTAAACTACCGCACTTATTCGTGATTTTCTATATATGTTAAAGAAATCCTCATAAGACTTTGAAACTGATAACAATAGTCTGTTTTAAGAATGAGAAATACCTATGGGAAACTTTAAAGACATAAAAAGTCTGAAGTCGAAATTCTTTTGTTAAAATACTTTAAGCTGAACTTTCTTTTTGTCATCACAATGAGTATTCAATATTGAATCTAAAATTAGTTTTGCAAAAATGAATGCGTAATGTAAAAATAAATTTAAATTTCTCATATTTCGTTTCAAAATGTTAGAAATAAATTCGACTAAATCTACATGAATTTTATTATTTTTATACATAACTAATGAATGCCCTTATTTTAAAATGTGAATATTTTTACCATTTTTGTGCATAACAAAATGCGATGTTTCTTTCAACATGTATGGATAGAAAACGTTTATTGAAAACAAAAACTTATTTTTTATCCATATATATACATGTGTCAAACATTTATATTTAGTAATAATATAGTTCTGAAATAAATTATTTAATGTTTTTGCTTAAAAATATGTAATACTTTGCTTTCTCAATCTTTTGTATGAACAAATATATAATTAATTTTTTTATATACATACAAATCTTTTCAGTCTTATTTTAAGCATCTTATTATTCAACTTCTTGAAACCTGAATTCTGATTTCCTATATATAATAACGTCTTAAGATTTCTCGAAGTCCTTGATCTTTATGCCAAAGTCGGTCCCACATCTGATCTTTTTAAGTCGAAAATATAGTGCACTTTCTGTCAAATACTAGAACAAACAATAACCTGTAACAAATAAATGTGCATAACTTACAATCTTATAAACCTAGGCACGAACCGACTACCACCTTTCAGCTAAATGATAAATGATGGTACAGTTGAACGTCAATTATCCGAAGCGTCAAATATCCGAACCAAATTTTTTTTTGTCAACTTTTGTCAATTTAGAAGGCGAACAAGACTACAATGACGACCACTCCAGAGTTGAGTGAATATTAACGTCGCATTGTTCAGCTACTCGAGGGCTTTTGGCGATGGACCACGTAATTTTGAACGATGGTCAAGTGACGTGGATGAAACCTGCGCTGATGCCCCCCCCCCTCTCCTAACTACCACAACACACCAATGGGAGGATCTTTCAGTTCTCGACAGATTTAACGTGCATCGCTGCCCTACATGGCGGGTCTTTAGTGGTACTGGGCTCGATCTCGTGGCAAGGCAAGCCACGATCCGATACCTATACCACTCGGCTACATAATGACGACAACAGGGAGGAGATTACCGACTTTGTCCAATCGATCCCAGGATTTCAAGAATGCGATTAAGTTATTGAAACCTGGATGGCAATCGATGCAGAAGACTCAGTGGATTTCAAATGATAAATGATGACGAGATTGTGACTTCCTTGCTAGAAGAATATGACCCTGTCGCGACGATGAAACAGATGAAGAAGAGGACAACAACAAAGAAAGTAGCAAGGGTCCATCAAATGCTGGCACGTTTTCTGCATTAGAGACAGCTATGGAGTGGTACGTACAACAATCAGAGTGCTGTCCTACTCAAATACTGCTGCTCATGAGAATCAGAGACCTTGCAGCGAAAAAATGAAGGTGTACAATGGTACAACGAAAATTAAGTGATTATTTTCCACAATAAACATAAAATTCCCTTATTTTGCACCTATTTTGCTTTTTCTTGAAGCACGTTTCCCGCATGTAATGATTTCCAATATTCGCATAGCGTCCGGTTTCATACATTGCATGGATTGTATTCGGTGTTCGGTTATCCGAACAATCGTGTATCCGAACGCTTTCCGGTCCCAATTGATTCGGATAAATGACGTTCTACTGTATATAAGATGGTATATACCGAAATGATGGGCCCAGCTCGTGAATGTTTACTAACGCCACACTATAAAAGAACACAAGGGCTATTGGAGACCTCGTAATTTTGAAACATGATCAAGAGACAAAGACGAAACCTGAGCTAGCACTTCCCACCCAGCCAACGTGAGGACTCTGAATCACAGCAGATTTAACGTGCTTTAGCTCTTCTATAAGGCGGGTTTTACGTAACACTAGGTTCCAACTCATGGATCTCCAGCCACAAGTTTTTGACCACTAGACCAGGGGTATTCAATCCAAATGACCTTGCGGGTCACTTCGGAAAACCATCATAATCTCGCGGACCTCACATCAAAATATGTACCTTTATATCAGATTTGGAAAAAAAAAACATTTATTGAAACAAAATGAATTATTAGTAATGTTTTCATTATTTTTCATGTATGCAGACATATATAATATAATAATGTTTATATAATATAATAATGCAATGATCAAATAATGCTTAAAATATTACAGTTGCCATTTTCTTGAAAATTACGGTGTGTTCCTCTTGAATTGATCTTTCGTTACTCATTGTTGACATTTGATTTTGCTGTCATTCGCAAACGATTAAGTATACATTGCCCTTTATCTTAACCGTCCTTAATATTTTTTTTTTTAAGTTTAAAAACCTCTCTGACTGCCTCTTGCTTTTTGGACACTCCAAATAGAAAAGGAAGAGGAGAAATGAAAGTCGCACACACAGAGAAGTTCCATCCATAGTAAAGGATATGCATAGTGCAATTCGGAATTTATTAAAAAAGTAATTTATTATGTTAAATCAAATGCAACTATTTGATAAAATATATATCTATTTTAGTCTTAAGAACATTTCTATTATCAAATAGGATTTATATTTTAAAATAAGAACAGGTAGCAGGCAAATACATAGTAGATTTATATATATATATATATATATATATATATATATGACTAAAGCTATTCAATATAGTAAGGATTAAAAATTCTGAGATTGATAATAGTTTATTACTATAAACTTAAATATTTCATAGTTATAGTTATCTTTATATTCTATAATATTAGATAAAATTATTTATTATTTTATTCATATTTACTCTAGTGTTACTAAAGTTATACCGTAATTTGTTTGGGTAACTCGAATTTTTATTTCCATTCTTTTTATACTTTTGTCAAGTGCTACATTTCAGCCATTCACATGATTTAAATCTGCATTAGGGTTCAGAATCTGGCAAAAACTTATTTATTGCACTCAAATTTTGCGCGGGCTCTGCATTTTTGAGTGCAATTTTTAGGTAAGTTACTTCTATCTTGTAATGGATTTATATATTCCTATCCATTACTTTCAATAGGTTTTTGTTCCGTATTATTTACATAAAGGGGGAAGGTTGGCTGGCCAAAAAAACATGTTCAACCCAACTTTTATGTATATTATTTTATATATTAGCTGTCCAAAGTCAGCAATGTTTATAATACTGCATCATCAATTTATAATTTTTAATCACGGTTGCTCATATGTCCTTCATTGTGTGATTTTCCTACTGTCTATGTGTTTTTCGAATGTGATTGTTGGATGTTATCTCTTGTTTGTAGAGAATAAGACTATATATATATATAAATTTCACCTTAAATAAATTTCAAAATGAAAAAAACTTCAAAATCCTTTTACTTAAATTTTTTTTAAAGAAGAGTCGATGAGTCCCAACTTCCCAAGCCGCATGCATCCCGCGGGCCGCGTGTTGGACACCCCTGTACTAGACTACCGCGGTCATCCTTGTCCTAGACAAGTTCATGGTATAACAAGGCAGTGTTTTAAATGTCGCCAGTTGGCATGCAGCTGAAAATATTCTTAATTAGGGCGAGTCGAGAACGAGCTGAACCCCCTTCCACGAGGCTGAGGCCCTGGACACGGACCCAGTTGGCCCATGTATTAAAACATCAATCACTATGAAATGCACCTTTGGAGGGAATTAATGTCATTTCAAACAGCATGAAAATCATGTATAATACCGATTATTTTAAATAAATGAAATACAAGAGAGAACATTAATCCTAAAATAATACATTTTGAGAAACTTTCTCGTAGCCGTATAGTAAAGTTGAACAGACTTTGTACGAGACCTAACCGAACAGAACTGTTAACGAACTCTGGATGAAGTTTCAAGATTCATTCCAATCTTCTTTTGTTTCACAATCTTTCATCCAGTACTGTCCAAAATTCCCAAATGAAGTAACGGAAATTAATCGTCAGTTATACAAAGCATTTATCGGATTCCTAGTTCAGGATTAAAGATTATCTTTAATTACTACATTCTTATTTGTAATTAATCGAATTTCATTAATCATTACCTCGTTGCTAGACATTTGCATCACAATCCTTATCTCTTTAAAATGGTGAAAGTGTAGAGTAATTTTCGGCAGTTGAAAGAATGTGACACAGTATGTGACATTTGCTATAAGGCCTCGTAAGTTTAAAGCATATCTTATTAATGTGAAATGAAGTTCCGTAAGCCATTTGTCAAACAATTTGAACAAAGCACAAGCAATTCATGAAAGAAAGCTAATTTAATACTTTTGAGTACAGATTAATTATTAGACCAGGGTTTCTTAAACTATTCGGGGGTGGCGACTCTATTCTTTGTACAAAAATTGCGACCCCATTTGCACACGCTTGGGTACTTCTGCGTGTGTGTTTCAATAATAGTATATTACTATTTTGCAATAATAAACATCCGCAATAAGTTTTTGCTTTGAATATAACGATATAGAAATTTTAATTAAATAACGAAAAAAGCCCCACATAATGCAATTACATGGTGTTATACATAAACTACAACCTATTTTTGAATTCCTACTATTAGTTCACTCTCACCCTATATATATATATATATATATATATATATATTGTTAAATTTTCATTAGTTATTAAAATACTTTCTATTAACCCACTCAAGTTCAAATTAATTTTTCTGAACTTATAGTGGATGGCACTTGATGTTAATACAGTTTTTTTCAAATATTAATTCATTAATTAAATTAAAAAATGAATAAATAGTAACAAGAAAAAATAATAGTTCAACAGAATATACATAAAGGAAAATAATTCATTGTGTTCCTGCAGCACATCGATAGCGCGTTGGACTTCTAATCCAAAGATCGTGGGTTCGAATCCCTCCGGGGATGGCCTATTTTCTGTGATTTCTTTTTTACTCTACTATTTATTAACTTAAATCAGTAACGCAACAGCTCGTGAAGGCCAAGACCTACTGTGCCTAACTCAGTATACACGGCCTTGGGACCTGAGGTGCATGAGCAGATGATATGGTCAGGTCTTCAGTCTGACGTCAAACCCCCAATGTTAAGTTCCCAAGCAAGTTTGGTACTCATTTATCAACCCATCGAAGAAATGAAAGGCTGAATCAGCCTTGTCCAGCCCGGGGTTTGAACCTCGGACTTGTGGTGTGGAAGCGCTATGCACTGAACACTCAGCCACTAGGCTCCCCCATACTATTTATTAGAATAATTATATTTAATTAATGAAAAAAACAGTAACAGACAAAGAAAAATAGTCTAAAACTATATATAGAAAGGATATTGAAAATATTTGCAAGGCAAATCGCTTTCTATTTTGTCATTTAATATTGTGATTCTGTCCTATGTATATACATATTTATATTAATTCTTTATATTAATTGTTACTATTAATAAAAAGTAAATAAAATAAAATATTTCTTTGTTGACGTTAGAAGGGATTGACTTAAAAATATTTTTTTTAATTAGGTGTGGTCATTTTGAGCCTCACCACCGCCTTTTATTAACAATGGCAAGAATAAAGTATCAAGGAGAAAGACGTGTTTGATTTTTTAAAAACTATTATGGCTTACACAAACAAATATCTAAATAAACAATAAAATAATAATAATTATTATTATTGTATAACAATTTATTTTATGCCAAAAGATTTATCGAAAATTCTGAAATTTTGGGCTACCCCAGTTGTAAGTCACGCTACCTTTTATTTAAGAAGCCCTGAATTAGACCAAAAAATGAGAATTAAAATTTGTATCATTTTACCAAAAACTTATTGTTTAACAATATAAAAGTAGTATGTAAAGGAAAATTATATTTACTTAGATTTGAATACATTATTCTTGTGAAACATTTAATACGTAAATTTATTTTTTTTTCTTTGGAAACTACCAAAAATCAATGTTTTAATGTTATAAACCTTACGCTGCATCCACAATTTTCTACTCCACAATTATAAAGGAAACGGTCATTACATTAAACAAACTATGATGAACAATAAAAAATCATGTCTAAACACAATAAAATAAAATTTTAGTCAGAAAGCCTGCTTCTTATTGCCTAATTTTTAAAACTCACTTTGAAATAGTTTAAAATGATAAGCAGATAACTTAAAGATAAATATTGCAATAACACATTAAAAAATCACGTTATTCAGTATAGTAACTAATAAAAATTGGTGCAGGAAATCACTCATTCGTAAAAGAAATCTGTTTTTTTTTTTTTTTGAAAATGGCCATGTATGACAGTTAATTTTTAGAAAAGTCTTAATAATACTGTCGTAATTTCAAAAACAGATACAATAATGTGAAAGTTTTAGCTTCTTCGAGAAATCTCCTTAGCAGACAATATCACTATTAATTAGGATGACAGCATTACGAAGTTATTGTCAGAAGAATCCAGACAAAAAGATTAATGATATAATAAATTGAATATATAATAATATAATGTAGTTTTGATAAAAGGAGTAGGCATTATCAAATATAAATCTGAAGTATTTATAGAATCTTATTACGTTTAGTCATACAATTCTTTAACACATAAAATATATTTTAACCGAGAAAATACTAATGTGTTATTTTCCAGTTAAGATTATTAGCTTTTCAAATGTATTATACTTTTTCAAATAGTTATATGAAATATTTTTAATATCATTTCTGTTTTCAATAACTGGTGAAAAATAATGAGCGCATTAAGAGTTATATTCGCGTACTGTATCATATTTTTTTTTCTATCATAATATATGAAACTATCGAAAATTGCGGTATAAAAAAAACTAAGGGGAAAAAAAGAACATAGTGTAACGCTAAGTTCACACTGTGGGTCTCCAAAATGTCAAAATAAAATTATTTTCAATATATCTTGGTTTTTTTTTTCTTAATTGGATAGCAAAGCTACGTTATCTGAATATCTGTAACATTTAAGTTCATTGCTGCTCAAATTTTCAATATTACAGACCTCACTTTCAATCATAATTTTCATCACTCCCCCCCCCATATAATGGTAATGTATTGAATGCAATATAAATGTTAATGTAATTTTAAGCTACAATACGACCTGATTTATAAACAGTACAAATTATCAATATGAGTATTAAATTTTATATATGTTACTTGTAAGTAATAAATATTCTTATTTTTTTTAGAAATAGGATAAGTATGTTTCTTTTTTATAATTCAGAAATTCTTCCGTTTTGCTTTCTTTCACTAAATTAAGAATTTTTCTTTTTAAATTTTTTTTTATTTTTTACTTTTCGATATGGTCCCGCCCTCAACGCACGATAACCACGCCCCTTGGGAGTGAGACACCACCCACTGTTTGAGAAACGTTGCCTTAGTTACTCACTTAAGTTGTTGTGTTGTGGCTAATCCTCAGTCTGTCTGATGGAGTCAGACAAGACCCAAAATTCCATGGGCCCTTAAGAAACCCAATACCAGGAGGGGAGAGGAAAATGTCTTCCCTCGAAAGTCCCAAGCAGTCCAAGATGTGATCTGGAGAGGCTTGCTGAGTCTTGCACTTGATGAGAAGAGCAAAAGTCTTCCTGCCTTCACAAAAGAAATGACTCTTTATGTGGCCACTTTTTAATCTAGAGATTGCAGTCTGAGAGGCTCTGCCACATTTAAGTAGGAATGAGGATCATGTATGTTTACTTTCATACCAGTGATGGGGTTGTGGACGGGGTCCTCCACTCCTTTAAAATTTTAGATTTAACCCTAGATTGATGTTCAGAGTAGGTGAGGGTTAAAGAGATAGGTGGAGAAGCATTACAACCCTCTTTAGCCAGCAGATCCGCTTGTTAGTTTACAAAGATGTTAACATGGGATGGAATCCGCTGGAAATGAACATCATGGGACTCTGATATTTGTCTAAGTTTTTGAAGTATGGAGACGCGCCAGCTTTTTGTCTCCCTCTCTGATTCAGTTATAAAGATGTTGGAAATAACTGCGACTATCAGAGAGGATCCAGAGGTCTCCAAAATCACGTTCATTAAGAACTGCCTCGAGGCCGTGCTCTATTGCAATAAGTTCACTTTTAAAGACGGAGGAAAAGTCGGGGTTATGGTGGCAAAAAGAAGACCTCTCTCCACGTTTCTCAATGTAAATGTCGCTGCCTGCTCGATCACTCAGTCTGCTACCGTCTGTATAGATCTTAATGGCGTCACTAGAGATTTCATCAATGATCTCCAATACTAACAGCCTAAGATGATCTGGAATCCCCCTTAACGACAGGAGTTGAAAGATCAAAGTGGAAATGCACTTTTGGGATTCCCTTTACCGGACTGAGACAAGACTTTAGAGAGTGAATTTCTACATCACTAAAAGACAATTGCAGCAGTTCTTCTTGACTGAAGGGGCTATTAGTATCTCCACCTTGTCGTGGTGGGTAGGCTTGTGTGCTCCAGCAACCCAGAGAGCTATGTCGGCAGTAGCTTAGCTACTGGTAGGGTCTCACAAGCCGAACAGGTCTTCACTGGATAGAAGCCAGACTAAGAGAGATATCTAGGAGAAAAAAAAAACTCTTATTCCAAACCTGCGCCCAGTGTTTGTTCTCCATGTCAGAAGTGGCTTGGGTGTCTGTGGAGCCAAGACAGACTTCTACCTACAAGGAGCTACAGATCAACAGAAGCTGCATATTACCTCTTCATGACCACTCACTTAAGGTATCCGACTACGCTAAAATCAGGATTTTTTTCAAAAATTGACAAAATTTTGTTATGATTTTATTTTATAGACCATCTTATTAGCTTAATAAAAATACCAAGCTTTTTATTTCCCATTCACTAGAACAAAAACTACAAGTGTTTTAGTAAAAGCAGATGCAATAACTTAACACAAGATGTCAAACTTAAAAGTGCTTTTTACTCGAAATGTGTTTTTTTCGAGAAACTCAAACGGGAACAGTGATTGCTCAAAAGGTTTTGAAAATAATTTGCTGAAATTTCTTGTGAATATTTTGTATGACAGTAGAAGTGTTTTGTCCTTCAGATTTATCAATCACTGTTTTATTTCAAAATTTAAAGTCCTTTATGTGAATATAATCACTGTTTTTTCAAGCAATTTCATATAGTCACTAAGATAGAGAGCCCTAGTGTTTGTAAAAATTAAAATATCTATTATCCTGAAGGTCATTTCAAACATGAATAACAAAGTACAACATTAAAAAATTGAGAATTTGTTCAAAACATTTTTGTACACAGCGGACCCCATTTATGTAAATTTTTGTACATTTTCACCAGTTTTTTCACCTTTTAATAATGATAAAAAAATGTCTGTTTTCAATTTTATGATTTTTTTCCTTAAAATATACTAAATAAATCTAAAAATCACAAAAAAATCCCCATATCTCCATTTTTTCAAAAAAAGTTGTCGCAAGTAGTCGAATACCTTAAGTAAATTACACGCATGTGTTTTAGTTAAAAATATTTAAAAAATACCTTTCTCATTAATTATGAGTATAATTTGTCTTTGTAATGACCAATAGTCTGATATCCATTATGCAGAAATTATGGTTTTGAATATATAATTCATGTTTAATATAACAGTGATTAAATTAGTTCTAAAATTATTAGTAAGTTAAGTAAGATATTTTTTATAAAAAGAAACATTTTTTTTAAAAAATATTTCATTGAATTGTGCAAATATTTTTTCTCATCATATATAAATCCTTTTTGTTGGCTTATAAATGTGCAGACAAAATTTACAATAAAAAAAAATCCATAGTTAAAAAGAACAAAAATGTTCTTATAAACTCTTTCAATCGACTTTTGTTGTCTTAAAACATCTCACAATAAAACTCAATATAAAAAATGATTATTATCTAGGGGTGCAACGCAGTTACGTATATTATTTCATTTACGTCAGTGGGAGGTCATATCA